CCCTGGGCAAGCGCCCACCCCCCCTGTTTTCACAAAAGTTACATGTTGGGGACATCCTCGGTTAAACGCCCAGGGTGATTTTTAGCCAAGAACGGGGTCAACAATAAAGTTTTATTTGTCAAAAACGAACGCGTTTGATTTATTTATACAGTGTATTTGTTACGGTAGTTCTCTTTTTGGAGTGTGTGGTGGCCCTGAAAAGGGCCGCTTTGTTTGTGTTTTTACGTAACAACTCATTGGAACTTAACGACGTAAGATGAACCAGGCAGCATGTGGCGCACACGTTCTGCTTTCTCTTCATTCACGATGAATCCAATATTGCAACGATCTATACCTTGGTGAGTGGTTTGAAGCACTTTGGTTTCAAAATGTAGCATTTCGCTGACTGTGAATCCATAACGGAAGCTAGCACTTTTGAGACATCATGTCATAAACTTGCTACTTTCTTTCCTTCCTTCATCGCAGCATGTGGATTATTTTTCTGTCGTTGAAGAAAAAACATTTTGCCGATAACCATAATGAGGCATGCCGACGATAGGAACTTGTTGCATCATCGTTATTTTCGTAATTTTGTCGCGCGCGCGTGTGGGTGCATGAATAAATCATGTTAATGAGGTCGACCAGAGTTTATTTTCAGTCTGTTTTTTATATATCGCCATTTTGATATGTTTACGTATTCACAATATTTTGTAAACATTTCCCATCAGTAATAAAAGGTTTATTTGTTTCATAACCCTGTCTGCTATTCTTCAGTAAATACGATGCAATGTATCAATACGTGCGTGAACAAAATTATGCTAATGAGGTCATCGCCATCTTGGATTACAAGCGGTAGTTTTTCCCGGCCGTTTCGACTTGCACTGATCACGGTTACCGGTACTAAAAAAGTGACCGTGCATTGATTACAATACTTGCCATACTTTGTAGCCAATTTCAGTGAGTAATACAACTTCATTCGCTGACATAAAACAGGTTTTATTCTTGAAATTCGACTCTGTGTCTTAGTGTTCTCCACAGTTCTTGATCGAGTGCTCACGTTTATTGAAACCTCGCATAAATCAAGAAATAAGTACGTGTACAAAGTGTACGAAAGCATTCCTTTATTTGACCTTATCATACGATCACAAAAACAACTTTTTAAAATCTTTTTTGGGGGTGGTCCTCGGGTAAGCGCCCACCCCCAATTTTTCCCGATTTTGTATGTTCAGGCCCCTGGGCGCGTGCCCGGGGTAATACGGTAAGTTAGAAAGATGCAGATTCGTGGGCATTCTGAGTGAAAAAATTTTTTTTTCTTTTTTCTTACCCAGACAGTCTTGGCTAGATTGTGCTCACATTTCGGAGCTTTGTCTATGTTGGATCATACTCAAAAAACAATTATAAAATATAGGGAACCCAGGCACGCAGATGTGATCAAAAGTCCCGAAAGTTTGTTTGCGTTGCTCTTTGATTGACAAGTCACTGTTGATGTTATATGCAACTGAAACTGAGTTGCTGGCCTCAGTTACGAAGCAGCGGTGTGTAACTTTCTGTCCTGGCGCGATCAACTAGCCTCGCAAACTACACAAAAAAACAGACAAGACATAGATGCTTCCAGCATGCAAGCTGTGAAACAAAACATACAGTAGTAAATGATAAGTAAATGTTTTCACCCTTATCTCGCGATGTCAACAACTTCTCGCCTGGCAGCTTCCAGTGGTATACTAGTACTATTTATTTTCATAAAGGAGGAAGGCCCGATAGCGTGATTTCATTTTTTGCATTGTGGGCGGAACTAAAAAATGTTTCCACATATTTTTTACTCTAAAGGCATTTTAACACTGAAGTAAACATTTTTCGTTCGCTGTAATGATCACCGTGCATTGCGATGCAATGGACAAACACCACTGCTGTTGCTGTCATCGATAACTAACTTTTCAAAATACACAAACGAAAAATGCTTGGTTAATTACAAATAAAAAATACCCTGGAAATTTCTGAAAAATCGGCAACGAAATGCTGTTTTTAAACGCCACCGAAAAATCATCTTTGTTACCTTAATCGAAAACCCCCTTGTCAGCTAGCATGCACCGGTAGCGGTGTAGCAAAGTACGTTGTACGTCCGTGCTCAGCGACCTTTGGTAATATGGCACTCTATGAATGAGGTATTTCCAGGTGTCATAGTTCGTTTAATTTTCTTCGACCCATCTTGTCTTAGTTGAATGAAACCTGCCTCGATTTACTATAGTTTCCCTTCCAATGCAACTTCATTTCGAAATTGTTTCACCGGCGTTTGGGTGATTGAGTAGTAAAAACTGTGAATAGCCGCTGAGTAGTCAAATATTACGGCCCATTTCAACCAGGTTGTCTAACTTTGTATGGTTCATTTCACTGGAGATAATGGAAACTACGTCATACAAACTATTTTTTCAAAGGTTTGAGGGAAGGTAAATTTAGACTCAACCCACCCAATGGCGATCGCTATGATTATATAACTGTATGAATATGTCATTGGCTTTACTTAATTTATTGTGCCCCTCCTTCAGTGAGATTGATAAGTTTTCATGCTGGGGAGTGACTTCGCAGACGGTTTTCTGTCGTTTCCCCTCGAATTGTAAATATTTTTATTTTATTTTTTTACCTGACGATTTAGCATCAGCAAATTTCGGTGTATGGTGTATTTCTATGAGCTTCTTTTACTCATATGAAGCGAATTATTCGTTTTTATCACCTTTTTACAAAATGGCGATTATCTCAGTTTTATTTTTAACTCAAAATTTCAACTTTAAAACTATTTAAGTTCTTGACAGTTCATTTGCTTTCAATGATATTTTCAGGGGTGATTATTCAGGTCTATCCTAAGTAAATGGCTTTGTATGGTTTCACTGTCACTGCAACAGAAACAATAGAGCTGCCAATTAGTGGCTCTATTCATTGTGAACGATTTATAAATTGTGAATGTTTCAAAGAGCACTGTGTGAACACTTTTCAATAGAAACACTACTAAATAAGCCATTATGTTCTTAGTAAACAGAAGTTTTAAATAGGTATTTTTAAATCAAAATCAGGATATGCGTTCAAAAGTTAAACAGTTTTAAGTGCACTTTCACCTAAAATGCATGATTTTAACCCAAAATCTACACCACTTAATATGGTATCATAGTACATTATTGTAAACCATAAAACTCAAAAGTTTAAATATAAATCTTTTAAAGGATAATAACTTGATGGGTAAAAGTTATATTTTACTTGTGTAATTACAGTAAATAGAGCCAATTAAAAATATAGTCTCCCAACCTGCATCTCTACCTTAAACAAAAAACATCCTCATCCCACACTCAGTTTTGACATTACAACAACACGTGTTCCATCTCTGCCATTGGGAAATGTATGGAAATATTGTGTTCATTATTTGTAAACTTCAGTGTTCAGATCCACACAGTCACATTGTCATAACAAAATATTAATAAATTCCAAATGTTTGCATAATTGGCATATATAGATTTGTCCTTGTATGTTTGTTTGGTACTTACATTATTTGATATCCAATTATTTAATATCAATAATATTTTTTGAAATGGATTTTATAATTATCAGACATGGGAGACGTGGTATAAATAATGATCATTCGATTTCAGTGAAAAACATGTTTTTAAAGAACTTTAACCTCAAGGGGCCTTTCAAAAAATATAGATATTCCCCAAATTACTCCAATATGCCAAGACAATTTTTATTAAATTTTACATTGATAAGGGAGTCCTCTCAACTTTCAATCAGCCATTTAAGAATGGTGAGTGTGTTGAAAAAACAACATATCACAGTTGAAATGCATTTTATCTGTTCAACGAACAGTTTTCTTCTTGAGTAGTTTAATCTCAGTCATGACCATGAATTATAACAGAATGGCTTCTTACCTGTTCAGTAAATTGGTTTTGACAAAGATACCATATTTTCTCTGTTATTAGCACATGCACTTACGTAAAGTAGGGAGGGTTATCTATGGTCAAAATAAGACATTTTAATGATCCAGCATGAAATGAGTGCAATTTTTTTATTTGTGTAATAGAGCAAATACAGTATCTTTATTTCATAGAAAATATTTATTTTGAATATATTAAGGCACTAATATTGTCATGCTTGTATTTTGTTCACAGGAAATGAGAAGGAGAAGAAATGAAGTGACTGTAGAACTAAGAAAAAACAAACGTGATGAACATATTTTGAAAAGAAGAAATGTCCCAACCATAGAGAATTTAGATTCTGATGATGCAGATATTTCAGTTGTAAGTAAATACTTTTGTTTTTTGTCAGACACTATGTGTTGCATCTTAATTGTCACTAGTTTAAACTGAGGATGCTATATGGTGTTCACACGTGTTGAATCGGGTTGAGTCAAAGGACTGATCTCAGAGTTCCATGTTTAACCCCTGGAAAGTCTACCATATTCTCAAAACTTTGATGAGCTTTGGTGATGATGTTGGCCTGAATTAAGGGTCAAAATGCAAAAAAAGTTTAGAAAAGTCTGGAAAAGTCTTGGAAATTGTTTGGTATGGACCCTGCCAAGAAACATGTGAACAATATTCCCTACAGCGTCCCAAGTGGTATAAGCTCATTATACTACAAGATGGCAGACCTGCAGCTCAAAAACACGGCAACACTTAGTCAACTGAGGAGATGGAATTACTAATTAGTCCCCATTTGGACGCAGTCCGAAAACGGAGACTTGTGTTTTGACCTCTGTGTGTCCGTGCGTGCGTCCCTGTATCTTAGAAATGCCTGGACCAATCACAATCAAACTTCACACATATATCATACATGATATTATACATATGCACGTCAATTTATTTCACGATTTGATTCAAGATGGCCGAATGGTGGCCATTTTTGTGCTAAAAAATCCTAAAAATCAACCATTTCTCGGCTGTTTACAGATGGATTTTGTTCAAACTTGGTATATACATTAGACATTATGGGACCTTGATGCAAATACTTTTGTTTTTCAGATAAGATTCAAAATGTCCGACTGGCAGGCATTTTGTATTAATGAATGTGGTTCTCTTGCCATATCTCTGAATTGCTTTCACTGATTATGTTCAAAATTTAAATATTCATTATACATCATGTCATAGATAAACAGATATATTGGTTTGACGATCCTATTCAAAATGGCCGTATTGTGGCCATTTTTGGATGGATTTTGTTCAAACTTGGTACATATATTAGACATTACGAGTTCCTGATGCACGTCAGATTGGATTCAAAATGGCTGACTGGCGGCCATTTTGTTTTAATGATTGGGCTTCTAGAGCCATATCTCTTAAATGCTTTGACTGATTATATTCAAATTATATATATTCGTTATACATCATGTTATGTATTCAAAATGGCTGATTTTGAATGATGTTTCAGAGCAATATCTCTCAATATGGACAAGTACGATCAGATACAAATGTCAATCATTTTAATGTTAAAAAATCATATTCCTGACATGGTTATATTCCAGCTATATTACTATAAACAAAACTATATATCTTAAATTTGATAACTAACGATGACTGTGCCATGCATGGCTTGTTTTCCTTTCGAAAGGCAAGAACATTTTGACTTTGATGGACAGAAACGTCACTAGACAAGATTTATGCTGTATTGTCGGCAATGACATGTCAGCAGGGGCTCTTGCATTCAGCAATTTAAATTAGGTTCATTTCTAACTCAAATTCTTAACCCATGCAACCAGAAAGTGTTAATTAGTAGACAAGAACAACACAATTATATAAAACAGCATTTCAAAGTAAAACTTGGCTGTTTTTTTAAGCATCTCAAAAGAACGATTAACACAAATATTCTAAAGTTTAAAAGTCCAAAATGTTCAAAATGGCCAGTTGATCAAATAGAGCATGCCCAGATGTAACCTGACATGTAGGCGTGAGTGGCACCCTAACTGGCCGAACAGCAGAAGACCCCACTTATGCCTTACAGAATAGAATATGACTCTTCGGCAAGTTCAAATCTTCATTTTGGTGGTCATGGTAACACCACACACAGGGCGCCTTTACCATGTTGACCTCATTATGCATGTATTTCCGCGCCCACCTCATTATAATATGTGCATTCATGAATATTTAATAGCAATGAATTTCCTGCAGAATAAACCAGTCGGGGTTTAAATTTTTTTAATTTATTTAAACTACAAAAACAAATTAATTGCTCACAGGCAGAGATGTGTCAAGCTATCGTTTGTACCTCTGTTTATGTTTTTGGCTTCATGACTAGTTCATAAAATTGAATTCATAAGCTATACTAGTATTTAGTCAGCGATACAAGGAATACTTATTTCTCACTGTTAATGTGATTTACCAGCATTCCATTATAAAAGGTCAGATATCAATGTCTGAAAAACAGGGGGGTTTTCCTGCAATTTGATTGGTACCAACAAAAAAATTGGGAAAGTAAAAAACTACGTTCTGTCAGGCGTGTGTTGGGTTTGGAGCACTACGAAGGGCACAACTCGCACAAACTTGTCAGGCTAGCCCAGATGCAAAGGGTCATGGGTTAATGTATGATGTATAATGCAATAATGTAAAACCACTTTGCTAGTCACTGATTCTTCGATAAGGGAATAGACGCCTTTTTCATTTGGGCCCAAAATAATGAGGCGACATACATTTATTTTCTAGGTTCCTATTTTCTTGGGTTCTGATGTGCAAGACCCCATAAGGGGCCTCAATAACATATTTTGTGGAAGACTAGATCAACAAAAATTGTTGATGAGATTCAATGTTTGTTTTTTCTCAGAATGCTTCGTTAGAAACAATAGTTCAAAATGCAGCTAGCGAGCAACCTGGAGTGCAGCTTAGTGCAGTGCAAGCAGCAAGAAAACTTTTATCAAGTGACCGTAACCCACCTATAGATGATCTTATTGAGTCTGGTATTCTCCCTATTTTAGTCCACTGTCTGCAATGTGATGACAAGTAAGTATATAACACAACATGTCTTTTGCTGAACATGTCATTTAGAAAACACACATATTATCACATTTAAAAGCAGATATTCACTTGGTATATGTTTGTTTTTTTCAATATTATTGGTTAAGCCCATCACTGCAATTTGAGGCCTTGTGGGCATTAACTAACATAGCATCCGGCACATCATCACAGACGCAAGCAGTAGTTAATGCTGGTGCAGTTCCACATTTTTTAAGGCTTCTACACTCTCCACATCCTCATGTCTGTGAACAAGCAGTCTGGGCTCTTGGGAATATTATAGGTATGTAAACAAGTTTTCTATAGCTGTTAGAAGCTTTCAGAAATTCTTCCAAAAAACATGGTATGTGTTTGATAATTCAACCAAATTAGATAGGCAAAAAAATGTTTTGCTTCTCGTCCTTAGGGAAATTGAAAATAATTCGATAACTGTTTTTTTACTATGCCCGTACCATCAAAGATGGAAGGGAAAGGTGTATTAAGGAAAAGATTTCTGTCCGACTTTGTCGTCGTCATTAATAATTGTTATTGTCTGCACAGTAACTTTACTAATTCTATTCCAAACTTCATCGAACTTGGTGACCTTATTCATCAGTATAAAGTCTTCCCTGAGTTTGAACAACAGATGTCCTGTATGAAAATATCATGCAATAATTGAGAAACTTGACTGATAACCGGTGATACACAAGAAAATCATTTATCTTGTAATAATATGAATTGTTATTTATCTCCTAAATCCCATGGGAATACTAGACTGGGTTTTAAAACCAATTCATTGAGAGAGTTTTTGCACAGTCTGATACAATTTGCAAATACAATGAAATACATGAAAAATACATAAAAAGGCAAAATGTTGCATCCACACTTTGAAAAGAAAATTCTACTAAAAAATAATTATTCTGTATTTGACCAAAAGTTTATTTGACCAATGAAAATTCACATGAATTTGTTTCAGCTATTAGAACAGAATGATAGAGTTGTTACAATACTAATTTAAAAACGCACTTCAAAAAATATGTTTAAAGATGTAGATTCTCAGGAGGCAAACAATAGTATTGACTTCTCTCCCCACTGGACACCAACTATCTATTTATGTTGATTTGCATACAAAGCAAACATGATAGCTATTCATAGAGGGCCTTTTTTTTACTTTTCAATTAATACAGTAGTCACACAATGAATATAATAAGGCAGTTCATATTTGTACATCATTAATTTTTGACAGACACATGTACAAAATACTTGAACAAAAGCCAGCTAAGATTTTCTGTTATCTTGCATGTTTTATGAATTTATTCACGTCTAAATGCAGCATTTTTTTCTGAGATGAGGCATTTGTTTCTATACTAAAATATCTGAATTACTTTGAATAAAGCTGGAAATTATGGCCCTTAAAATAATTAAACAAATTAGGCACCAATGTTTTTGCAAGATATTTACATCTATCAAGGACTGTTGTTTCAACCCCAAAACGTATTTTTGGTAAAAAGTGATATTTTTGTATTCTTGTTGAAAACAGCAAGTCCAATTGCTTTGATACTTACTATACATAGGTACGTCTCTCAGATTTGTTCATTTTCTAATGATTTCTTCAGAGCAATCTCAGTCAATAGGCTGCATGTTTATTACCAAAACAGTGCGATATATGTTCAACATTTATTGAATAATGCCTTATTATGTACGACTTATTTTGACCATAGACACACCACTGTCATATACATATGTTCTATTTCTGGTTATCCACTTATATTTGTATATATTTTTTTGTTATTAGGTGATGGTCCACAGTGTCGAGATTATGTAATTGGGCTTGGAGTTGTGAAACCTTTATTGTCATTTATAAATCCAAACATTAGACTTTCATTTCTTCGGAATGTTACATGGGTAATAGTCAATTTGTGTAGGAATAAAGACCCACCACCTCCTGTTGAAACTATCCAAGAAATATTACCAGCTTTATGTATGCTCATACATCATACAGATACTAATGTAAGTATCAAAAATCTTAACATCTATACAAGCCTATACAACTTGTAAGTGGGTTGTTGCAGCACAACTGTATGATCCCATTGTCTTAGTAACACATACCAAATCCCAGTACATCAATAATGGCATGTCTTTGTTTTTCCTTTTTGTGTGAAGACACTAAATGGTAGTAGTAATAGTACATCTATTTTTCAGAAGAAAACAAATGCTAGTTTTATATTTTTGATCATATACTATATTTTTACTACAGTTTGTTTAAATTAACAATACTTATTCAACATTTATTGTATCAAGAATTGATAATGTTGGAAATAATCACCTTTATAGAGTAAAATTTAATGTGCCACTACTTTTCAATGGAAGAAATTAACCCCCATGTTTTGTGTTTTATTTGTAGATACTTGTAGATACCGTCTGGGCATTGTCGTATTTAACGGATGGGGGAAATGAACAAATTCAAATGGTCATAGACTCTGGAGTTGTACCTTACCTAGTCCCTTTATTAAGTCATCAAGAAGTTAAAGTTCAGACAGCAGCACTGAGGGCAGTAGGAAATATAGTTACAGGAACTGATGATCAGACACAGATAGTACTCAATTGTGATGCATTATCACACTTTCCAGCTTTACTTTCACATCAAAAGGAAAAAATCAATAAGGTGAGTTAGCTTTATTTTCCATATTTGACCCATCAAGATTATTATAGCCCTGAAGTGATGAATCTTGGAATTAGCTTGTGTATATATCAATGTAAGGTAATATGTAGGATGTGTGTGTGTGTGTGTGTGTGTGTGTGCGTGTTTGTGGTTTCATGACTTGTACAGGTCAGAATGTAGCAAGTCTACATGTAGATATTGGAGTGCATCTGAAATGAGGCAATGTTTACTGCCAAATTAATGATTATAACTCATATTGCCTGTCAAGTCAGTGTGTAAGGGTTTCAGTTATATATACTTTAGGTAGTATTGTTGTTATGAACAGCTCATTGTAATTCCAAGTGTTTGCTCACTAAAGCAGCAAACAGTTCTGATCAAGGCTTTAATAAATTACTTGATATGACTGTTATCTGTTGGTATTTTGTCCAATCTAGTTTTTCTTTTTTCCGACATTTAGGAAGCGGTATGGTTTTTGTCTAATATCACAGCTGGTAATCAGGCACAAGTACAGGCAGTGCTAGATGCTGGCTTAATACCACAGGTCATTCATCACTTGAGTAGGGTAGGTGATTTAAAAATAACTGTGTCACACATTTTTATGAATTTTTAAAGAATTCCTTTGTAAATACTGGACCATATACATTTTTCGGTCAGCGTTTTTTTTTTGTCTATTTTATTTGTTTTGAGAGAGGGTTTTTAGATGTTGTGTTGTGGGAAGTTGCAGTGAAACGTATAGTCATAGTATAAGTATTCACACGTTTCTCAGATTCTTTTTTTTTTGGGAGAAACTGTCCTCGTCCATGAAAAAACAACTAGGTTTAAAGAGAAACGCCGACAACATAAACCTGGCGTAACACTTTTGAAAGAAATAGATTCCGAACCATGATCACCGAGGCGGATTTCAGAAGAGAGAGAGACGTCCGGCAAGTGTTTCAAATGAGTTGACTTTTTTTGCGATCCTGATTATCGTTTTATAGAGACCATTTAGTCCCTGTTGAGTAAAAGGTAGCAATAATTTTGACAGTGACACGAAAACGAAACGTCCCTTACACACTGCTAATTGTTTTCATTTTCGAAGGCTAAAAGTTTCTGAATTGTTTGGTGATTTGTGTTGAATGTCGAATTCACACCTCTGTTCTTGTTTTACCTCCATGCTTGCAGCTTGATCTGCGTAATAATTTATGAAATAAGAATCTGGGCTTGGTCAATGTGTTTCCACCAAATAAAGTTTTAATATGATGTTATAATTATGACAATCATGCCATGGATCACGCTAACTCAAATCCAATTTATCTGTATGTGTGTCGATCTTGATTATTTTTGTTATCCAATTAAACACCACTTTTAACGCACTTGCCCTCGTCGTGACCCGACGCGTTCACCTATTTCAACAAAATTTCAATTTATTTCCACGCGGCTGTCATTTATTCAGTAACTGTGATTTGTCGTTTTTTTAGTTATTTTATAGTGATCACTATAGTCTAATATTTAGAATGTCGAAATATGTTCTTTTATTTTAATTTTGAAAGTTTTACTCAGACGATCGATGAAATACAACAGTGTAGTGACGTGCCTAGTAACCTGCTAAATAACGAGATAATTCCGACGTCAAATTCTATTTTGTCCAGCGACAGTGTACAAACGTGCGCCGGTAACGATCACGGTGACCAGCTACACCAGAACGGACATATTTCGCATCTAACTCAACCCCATTCAACAAAAATTGATACTATGTGTTCATTATGGTCCATTCCTCATCGACGAACATGTACATAAGTGAAAATTCAGTCAAAGACGAGAAAACTGCACAAGAAATCGGCAATGCAAGCTGTCATGCGACTTCCCCTTCTGACGTCACAAGGGGAATTTCTGTATGCAAATAAGAAGCTAATGAGGAGCCTCGTTTTAAAATACACAAAAATAAAGTTGCCATAGACTGAGTTTAAAACACATTTTTTCACTTAAAAAAATAATTCATACTTAGAAACATAAAAATTAATAATATTTATGTATCAATGGATAATTTTAGGCGTGAAAATAGCAGCCATTTCTTAGGCACTTTAATGTTACCTACATGTCTTGATCAAAACTTTTTTTTAAAATAGAAACATTTAACGGTTTAATTTTGTGAATTTTTAGTCCCAGTTCGGACGTAGTCCGAAAACGAGGACTTATGGTTTGCCCTGTGTGCGTCCGTGATCACCTGTATCTCGAACATGCATGGACCGATTAAGTTCAAACTTCACTCATACATCACACATTATATGGGACATATGCACATGCATTTTTTTCATGATCCGATTAACGATAGCCGAATAGCGGCCATTTTAAGGCCGAAAATGCATCAAAATCGCACATTTTCACCATTCCGGACCCGAATCTCAGTTATGCATGGACGGATTTTGTTCAAATTTTGTACATACATTGAACATAATAGGACCTTGATGCACGTCATTTTTTTTTTTTTGGATCGGGTTTGAAATGGCCGACTGGCGGCCATTTTGTTTTAAAGAATTCAGTTCTGGATCCATATCTGAGACATGCCTGGATTGATCGAGTACAAACTTCACACACACAAGGTACATCCAGTCACAAATATGTATGTGCATTTGTTTCATGATCCGATTAACGATAGCCGAATAGCGGCCATTTTAAGGCCGAAAATGCATCAAAATCGCACATTTTCACCATTCCGGACCCGAATCTCAGTTATGCATGGGCGGATTTTGTTCAAATTTTGTACATACATTGAACATAATAGGACATTGATGCACATCATTTTTTTTCCGGATCAAGTTCGAAATGTCCAACTGGCGGCCATTTTGTTTTAAAGAATTCAGTTCTGGATCCGTATCCGAGACATGTCTGGATTGATCAAGTTCAAACTTCACACACACATGGTACATCATGTCACAAATAGATATGTGCATTTGTTTCATGATCCGCTTAAAATAGCTGAATGATGGCCATTTTAAGGCCGAAAATGCATCAAAATCACGTATTTTCACAATTCCGGAACTGGATCTCAGTCATGCATGGATGGATTTTGTTCAGATTTAGTGCATATATTAAACATAATATAAGCTTGATGCACACCAATTTTTCTTCAGATCAAGATTTTGGTCATGATCTGCTTTGAATGTATATGTTACTCAAATATGAATGGAACGGGGACGTGTCATTGACAATGACTTGTGTTAATGGGATTATCTGTACTGGAGATTATAACCCAAGTTGCACATATGTCATTTGTCTCAGACAGGATTTACCTGTTTTCTGATGTTTGTGTTTTTCTAAACTGCATGTTATTAATTTTTATTCACAGGGAGATTTTCAAACACAGAAAGAAGCTGCCTGGGCAATAAGTAACTTAACTATCAGTGGTAATTGGCAGCAAGTATACTACTGTATAGAACAACATGTAATAGAACCATTTTGTAGCCTATTGACAGTGAAAGATACACAGGTTGTACAAGTTGTCTTGGATGGCATTAATAATATCCTAAAGATGGCTGGTGACAACGCTCAGTTTATAGCTAACATGATTGAAATGTGTGGAGGTATGCAATTTTTTCACTTATTCACATTTAGTAGAGTATAGATTGGTTTGTATTATAGTTTGTAATTATAGTGACTCATTTTACATAGTTCTAAAGTATTTTCAGTATCTCATTCAGAACATGTGAATTATACAAATTTCTGGGGATTTTCATACATCCTCCCATTTAGTATGCCTTTCCCAGTGCGATGAGTTGAACCAGAATGCGAGCACCAGTTTGGATGTTGTTGTGGCTTATGTGCATTATTATATAATTAGTTCCCATCTGACATACAGTAGTCTCAAAACGAAAACTTTAGTTTTTAGTTCAATCTGTCCATCCATCAGCATGTCTGCCCAACATGTCGTCAACCAACTGTCCCTGGCTTGCCTAAGCCAATTTAATTCAAACTTTGTATTGACATCACACTTCTGAGTTATTGCTGTATGTCATTTTCTTACACACTTTGATTCAAAATGGCCATGTTTTATTTTTGTTTCTCAGACATTCCTTAATAAATTTTGACTAGACATAATTTTTTACTCTCAATTGTTAATTCAGTCAAATGCGAACATTCACTATGTCAATGACAGTGACTTGTTGTGCATATAACAATATTTAGTTACATTTCATATACAATGTACTCTGATATTGACAGATGCAATGTGATCCTTTACAATTGACTGATCTTAGTGTCATTCCTTGCCATACTTACACAGGAAGCCAAGTATACCCGTCATCCTACTTACTTGATAATCTAAATTTTCTCTCAGGATTGGACAAAATTGAAGCAGCACAGAATCATGAGAACGAGGAAATCTACAAACTTGCTTATGAAATTATTGATAACTTTTTTTCAACTGAGGTAGGTATTTTTTTCTTTTTGTTAACCATATTGCAGAATGAAAGCATGTCTTCCTTGGTGTCATCAAATATGTACATAATCATAATATCTGCAATGTTTACCATGCAAGTGGGGGACACAAAGGAAATGCATGATTAGTTCACATAAGCATGTCAATTTGTGTTCTGATACACTAGATTTTATTTGAATGGATAATAATAATGGATCTTTGGGCATCTTATTTCAAAATGTCTTTTAAATTAGTACACTGAAGTTTGTTTTTTTGAGGAGGATTGATAAGTTTGCTAATGTTTATTTGTTTTATGCTGCTTAAGGATGATGAGGATGCCCAGATTGCACCCGAAATATCTCAACAAGGCTTCCAATTTGATCCTAATACCACCATACCATCTGAAGGATTCAAATTCTAAGCAGTATCAAAGTTTCCCCCACTGTGCTTCCAACAACTTGACGAAGGAATTAAAAGTACAATATCCTGCAAAAGACGACGACAATTGAAAAATACGTTGGCAAATTAATGAATTAAAGAAGATAATAAGCCTACCAAGACAGGATGATCCAGCGCATGAAAGATTGTCTATTTATGTGCAATTCTAGTACAGTGAATGTCCTTCAACCCAACATTGCTACTTTAATTTAACAGAACAAAGTAACTCTGGGTTGCCACAAGTGTGGCAATCTTTGTAATGTTCAATTGTTCTACAACCTACTGATGAAGGGCCATTGCTCAGAACTTCTGATTATATACAATTACATTGGGCTATGAATACCAACTGTATGTACAATTATCAATGTTACTAATTATCAGTTCTAGTAATTATTACCTACTCTCAGATAGTTACAGTTTCTTTGCATGACAAAACACAATTTATTTTATGGATTATGGAGGGACAGTGTAACCAGAAATCACATTTTAATATTGAGATATAGTTTATTATGATTATTTTTTTCAACATTTTTTAAAGCAAGTTATAATTACTATGATGGATTATTTGCTGCAAAGGTTGTATGTCACCCCCAACAATCTTACACAGATTACAAATGAGCTTTAGAAGACATGCTCTATATTGAAAACTAGTTCATTCAACTCTATTACACAAGTGTGTCATTTGGTTTAATGGGATGACAATACTTGCCACCAAAAAGTCCATCTTTTTGTATGTCTTTTGTTTTATATGGTAATATAAAACTTTTTCTTGTTCTACCCGGCTATCAACATTTCCTCTAAACGTAAAACTTTCAAATATTGTATATAATAAAGTCCATTAGTTTATATGTTGTAAAATATGGAAATAAGATAGTCACCTTTGCCTACTGGGATGTGAATGAATCTTTTCATTGCTGCTTTCACTTTATTGTCTTTTTTACACTTGAGTACTGTTAAATTAAAGAAATTATTTTAAAAAAAAAGGTGATGAGCAGATTTAATGTATTGAAAGCAGTGATGAGGTTCATTGTGGTTGTTGTTTTTCATTACTTACAGGAAAGATAGGGTAACAACACCTGGTTTACTTTGATACTTTCTACATTTTTATTTCTAGTGTATTTTTTTTTATTCAAGCTATTGTGTCAGTACAGCTAAATATTTAGAAGAAATGATTTTAGGTGATGCTAAACATTTCTTTCAGTGGTATTGAGATAACACATATGTTTAAATGGTCATGCTCATTTGGTGCATTACCAATGGTGGAAACATCTCCGATGAACATTTATGTCATACTGTAAACATAAGTAAGAATGGAGATGAGATGTTCCCCTGCAGCTGTTTTTTATTCATCAGCTGGAATCCTTTCTAATATTAGGATTTTACTACATACCGTATAGCTAGTCTTTGATAGGAATTATGAACAGTTTTTCTAAGCATCAAACAAGTTACACACCTCTTTATCATAGATTTAGGGAATTTTTCATGTATTGTGCACATCAACATGATTTTAGCACTGAATGTCAATGGTTGCATATAGTGTTTATAATTGTATTGGTTGCACCACATGCTATGCATCATTTATATGCTAGGTTACTGGCTGGTCATAATGCTGCAATTGTCTTGGTTACCAGCAGCTAGAAATCATTTCAATCTGCCTCTTGCATTTAGTCACAGGGGCTTGACGATCTATTCGTCTCAATGCGTGGACGTCTACGGGGTCGTGCGACTATGTCCCAGTACAGGACCTTACTCTTGCTCAAAATAATAGAAATTATGGAATTAAAACAGTTTAGTAATGTAAAGCAAGCATATATTATTAAATTTAATCATCACGCTCCGAAACCACAAAAATCACTAATACTTGTTTCCGGCCGATCAGCTTGCACTATATATAAGACAAGGGAGGAAACAAAATGTGCACACATTTTTCTAGCTGCCGAAAATTATACCTCAAAATACAAAATACCTTGTCCAAACCAGTTACGAGTGCTTATAAGACATTGAACTATCGCAAAATGTTGTCCGATTACATATAAATCATATATTTTTTCAGATTTTACGCATTTATGACG